TAACAAAAATTCCAAAACCAAAACAAAATATTCTACAAAAACAAAGAATATTGAAAATATTCTTCTAATTAAGTTACAAAAATCAATTTTTCAACTATTTTCTTCAAAGTTTGAAACACAATTCAAAAATGGAAATTTCAAAAAAGTAAATTCTAAATCTATTTTTTTTTCAAAATAGAAACAAAAAATTGAAAATCTTTTCCACTTACTGCCATGAAAAACTGCCGGTAATGCCGTCCTTGAGACGATCTCTCAATGAACGCTGTCTACTTGGTCCCGAGCCGGTCAAAGGTGGCAGCATAGGATTGTCCTCGCTGCCATCTTCGTGAACGGTAGTTATGTTGGAAGCCGAGTTCGATATGAGTCCAGTGCCGGCACCACCCATGTTGGCACTGGCATTGCTTGCTCGGCCGGCTGGTGAGTGTTCCATTATGCGTGGCTGATGGACGGGTGAGAAATGTTGTTGTTGATTATGCTGTGACGTTTGATGCTGTTGTGGATCTCTGGCTAAACGTCTAGCGCTATGACGGGGGGAATTTTCGCGAGACATTTTATTTAGTTGTTTTTGGATTAATAAAATTTAAAGTTTATTATATTTTTATGGTAAAAGATAATTGAAGTTAGTTTGTAGAGGTTCGATTTTTTGAAGGTAGATTGGTTGGTTGGTTGGTTTTGTTTGACAGATTTGTGGGGTGTTGAATGGCAAAATTTTAAAAATTTGCAGATTATAAAAATTTAGTTGATGCACAAGTTTATATGTTTTTAATAAACAAAAACATTAAAAAAAAGCGTTTACCGTTATTGTGTTTTGTTAATTGGACAAATTTTAAGAATTTTCTTTATTTTTTGTTGATTTTATAATTGAAAATTTGCAATAATTGACAATTTGTTGTTGTTGAGAAAAAAAATCGGTGAGTTGCAAGCCAATTCAATTCAATTGCAGAAGAATTTTAAAAAAAAATTTATTGCCTTAAGAACGAAACGAAAGGTGCCTTTAAAAAAATTTATGTTTGACAGTTTATATATTCAAATTTAAGCAGCATTCCAAGAGCTTTTTATTTTTACTATTTTTTGGCTTTTCTTCTACAGTTTGTTTGCTTTTCTTTTTTATTATTTTTTTTTTTTTGCCAGGCAGATTCACATTCAATCCACTGAAAGAAAATTACGTTTATCATTCGGAAATGTAAAACATTCAACATTTGATTTATGGTAACAGGAAATAAAGACGGAAGAAGTTGCACAAAACAAAGGCAGACAGACAGACAATCAGACGATGAGGTCTGACTAGAGTAGATAGATTTGCATAAATCAAGAAGAAGAAGAAAAGTTTGTTTTGTTTTTTTTTTTTTTTTTCATAAAAAGCTGTTAATGTCTTATGTTGTTTGTATGTGTAATGCGCGTGTGTGTGGATCTTGTAGTTGTAAAAGTTATGTATGTATTCGTGTATGTAGGAAATGATTAAAGAAGCTAATAAATGACAAAATAGATACTTTGAAAAAAAAATTAAGAATGATACAAAATATTGGGTTATCTTCTCACTTGAGTGCGAGTATTGTATTGGAAATTTTGTCCTGTACAGTGACAATAATTGACAGTTGACTGGAACTTGAATGAATTTAGTTTTGATTTTTTTTTTTAAATTTAGTTAGAGTTAAATATGGGCCTCAGAGAAATATATAACGATGGCGTTGTCTATGTATCAGATATATGTGATAACAGCACTTGATATGAAGGATTTTGGAAAGTTTCGAAAACTTCTGTGGGTGACTTTATACAGAAGTTTTCGAAACTTTCCAAAATCCTTCATATCAAGTGCGGTTATCACATATATCTGATACATAGACAAGACATAGACCTTCTAATAGTGATTAATTTGTTGGCCCCTATAAATTGGACAATGTAGATTCATAAATTGATCTTGGAGTAATTTTAGAAATTTAATAATTTTCTTTTTCGAGTTGAGTTTTAATGACCTAAGGAGATGGCATTGAAAATTGGAATCTAGCGAAGTCCCAAGCACGAAAAGCATGCGATGCGCTACGCCGTTGGTTAAGCAGCTCATTAGGCATATTTGATGCTATTTTTTCATATCATTTCTAGGATTTATAAAACGTTGATTGGACAGAATGTTAGAATCATGGTAGAAGAAAACAGGTAGTCGCATCGACACAGCTGCTGGGACAATGAACTGTCAAACTAAATTTGAAATTCAAAATTTTGAATAAAAAGTTATTCAAATTCGTAAAAATTGTTGAAAAACGAATATCATAACAATCTCCGATTGCCGTCGTATAACAAAAAAAAAAAAAAAAAACATATAAAAATCTACTTATTTTTGAAAAAAACATTTCAACATTTTTGACATATCAATGTTCCCAAGCGTTGATGCATCTTCCTGTATTTTTCTACTATGGTTAGAATCACATGGTCGTTTTCCACAATTATCTATAGCATTTTTGTAGCATACTTTTAGACGCTCACCAGAATTTTTAATCTAAAAAGAAATGCTTTATAGTGAATTGAATATACTAAAAGTATTGAATTAATAAAATATGAGTGTATTTATAGTAATAATACTTTTAAGTTTAAAATTTAGGTGCTCCTTAGATTATGGTATAACAAGTTAAAAAGTATCCGTCGGTTTTGCCGACAGATGTAAACTCTCAGCCAATGTTAGATTATTTAAATATATTTTGACTTCTGGTATGATTACTTAAATTGTTGACCCTCCATGGAGTAGGTTCCGAATAAATATCGGATCCAAATAAATTTCATAAAAAATTGCGACGTGCCAGGTTTGGACTATATTGGTTACTTCCTTCACTTTATATAGGCATAGTCGACCAAAGTATTCCATTCTCAAGAAAATCGAACATTTATATCCAATTTTATTAAAAATTATAAATTCCATATTCATGTCAAGTTTCTGGTTGGGAGACATTTTTAGATATAGCTTAGTTATGACAGACAAAAGTATTGAAAATTATGACCCTTTGTGGATGAGGTACCAGATCGGGTTCGCAGATATCAACTTTACAACATATCTTGTGTTAGCAAAAACGTTTGTGTGTGTGAAATTTGAAGAGTTGGATGGTTATTTCGCTTTCTTTTAGCATTTGGGTTCTTGTACCCTATGTGGAGGAGTTATAATAATAAATGGTCCGATCTCTACCATATTTATAACATATCAAATTTGACAATAATATTACGATGCACCAAGTTTAGACAAAATCGGATACTCCATCCGAGAGTTATCGTGCGCACAAGGCAGCAGACAGACGGACATTGCTAGATCGACTCCAAATGTCCTGAAACAGATTTCGAACACTTCAAAGTGATGGATCCTCGCCACACACACAATCGAAGCCATTTATAAACAATGTAATCAGAGAGTAACAAAATTGCTAGAAATTGTCCGGTCTTGGTATATTTTCTCAAGCTACACCTGCACATGAAACATGTTCCTTCAAAAGGCACAAAGGAACATAGAGATTGGCAAACAAAATAAATGTTTTCACTCGATTTTGTCCTCTTTTCACTCTTATTCTGTTTTGACTCCCACTCTTACTTTTCAAAAATGAGTACTCACGAGCGATCGAACATACAACAAACGTTTTAACTTCATGCAAAACGCTGCTTTTCGACTACTCCTGTTCACTCGTGAGTAAAATTGAGTAAATCTAAGCTCCGATTATCCAGGCTTCCACCTCCAAAATATCTCTTATGACAAATATGTTTTTCTACCCTAGCCAAAGAAAACTAAAATTCTTTTGGAACATGGGATTAATTCTAACTATTTAGCAACACCTAATTAATTGTAAAAACCCAAATAAAATGTCAATACTGTTAACTTGTTGCAACTTTTAACAGGTTCTTATATTCTAAAATCTACTAAAATATTTAGGCAAATTTGAGAAAAATGGCGCCGAATAGAGTTCTCTTTAAAACATTTTTGCTAGACAATTTTGGACGAGTAAAAATACTAACATGATTGCTAGTTTCTGATTGACTGAAATTTTGGATTATTCACTTAGGTTTTCATTCAAGTACTTTCTGCATGGGTGGGCAAGTATGCACGCTAGCGGTTGTGTCCCTTATTCTCTGCCATAAGTTATGTTTGTGTTTGGAAAATATTAATTAAATACAAATTTTGAAACAAGAAAGTTATTTTAAAATTCTCTTAAGAATTTCTCTTTAATTATTTTGCCCATCTTTGACTTTCTAGTTCTCTCAGAGTGAACTTCACATTTCTTGTAAGATGTGCCAAAATTAGAAGTAGGAACTTTTTAAAAAACCTAATTTAAGAAAACTTCCTCACAAAATTTCTTAACTAATTTTCGGCAGTTGTAACTTCTTACAAATTAATCTATTAATCCATTAAATTTAAGAGGGCATGTCGCCGCCCGCAGTGTATAGTTATTTTTGGTATCCAAGAGTCGACTTGCCCACTGCTGACCATACCTGCCTGTATAATTCTGGTGTCGATAAAAGTAATTATTATTCACATATCCAATGTGTGGTGTACAACGGCCCATTTTCATTATTTCTCAATACTTTTATTTCTTGGAAATTCAATCAGTTCCCCGTAATCTTACTCAAAATTTTAACAATTCTTGGAATTATTTAACATTTCACACGGATATAAACTCAGCACTCAAGGTCGAATGGAAATCAATAAATTCTGTAATAGTATTAGAATAGTTTGGAATATCAAGAAGAAGAAAGAAGGACGTGAGCAAAATGTTAAAAATATGTTTTTTATAAGTTGTTGAAGTTTTATAAAAAAATAGCGTTTAAGGGTAGGGAAATTGTCGTTGCATGCATGAATATTGAAAAGGTAAGAAAATGGACAGAAAAAAGTTTGAGTTAAAAATGTAATAAATTATTGTGAATTATACTTTTGTGAGAGCAAAGTTGAAGCATAAAAAACATACATATGTATTTATATAAATGTCTGTATAAAAATGTATGCGAAAGAGAGCGAATAAAAATGCGTAAAATGCATGAATTCCATAGGATACATAAGTATGTATGCATGGATGTGCGTGTTTATTAGAGTATAAAAATAAATGTATATATGTATGTTGGTATGTATATTGATATTTTGTTGATTATATTGACTTGGCAACATACATTTATTAACATTGATTTGGCATTTAATTAGCTGAGTTGTCTGATATGTTTTATTTATGCCCTGGTGGTATTGGATTGGATTGTTGTTGTTGTTCTGGTTGTTTCTGATTCTGTTGGATGTTGGGGGTGGAGGAAGAATTCACATTGCCTTCGGCAGCAGTTGGTTTGTCATTGTGTGGCTGACTTATGTGGTTTCTAATTGGGGATAAAAGTGTTATTAGTATTTGGTGGTAAACTAATTTGGAGGGGAGTGAATGGATACGATGGCAATGGAGAATAACTTCGTATGGATGTATGTCTGTATGTATGTTCGGGATAAGGATAGTTTTACTGTTTTTGGTTCGAGTGTATCTAATGTGAATATTTTCGTAAGTGTATTTCTAGGTGTTTAGTATACTGTGTCTTTGTATGTATGTATTTGTCTTGCTGTGTGCAGTGGCTATATTTCTTGTTTTTGTTTTTTGGCTAATTTACTAGCTTGTTTATTTGTTTGTTTGTTTGTTGGCATATTGTAGAATAAAAATTGAGGAAGCATAGAAATATTTTTAGCAGTTCATAGGCGCATATCGAGTATACATGTATGAAGATATGTATATATAGTTTTTGTTGTTGTTATTGTTGTATTTAGCTATTCTAATTACAAATACACATATAACTAGCTAGCTAGCAAGATATATTTATGCATGTTGAGTAAATTTGTTTCGTATTTTCTTTTTTGTTATGCTTTTTTGGTTTGACTATAAATAAATTAGGTATTTATATTTAATTCAGGAAACCGTTTTTGAACGAACCTGCAAAGAGAAGAGAAAATGTTAAAATTAGTTTGAGAAAAATTGTGAAAAATAAAATTGAATTGAGCATTCTATTTATTAAAACATTTTATATTATTTCAAACGATTTTAAAAGATGTTCTGCCTTGGTAACAGTATAGGACCACATTTCCGGTTCCAGTCCAAAGAAACAAAAAATGAAATAAAAATCATTTTAAAAGTTAAAGCAATAAAAAAACAAGATAAAAAGAAGTAAGTTCGACCAGGCCGAACTTTAAATACCCTACCCACCATTTGGAACGAATTTGGGAATTTTCCAAAAATAAAATCCATTAAAAGTTCTGTAAAAATCTTAAAAATACCGAATATATCCGTTATATTGGGGTCTATACGACGTGGACCTACATAATCAATGTTTGGCATAAGCCATTACCATATTCAAATTCGAAAGTGAAATAAACGGTGAGTTATGTAACTAAAATAATCAAAATACCGTATATGGGGAGGTACCGTTATATCGGGCATATACGAAGACCTGGACCTGCATAGACAATTCTCTGTCACAGGCTATAGCATCCATTACGAACTTCAAATACGACAACTCAAACAATATCGGTGAGTATTGTGCCTAAAATCGTCATAATACCGAATATAGGGAGGTACTGAACTATGGGGCTTATACGTAGATGTGAACCTGCACAAACAATTTTCTGTATCAGGCTGTAGTATCCATTACTAACTTCAAATACCAAATTTGAAACAATTCCGGTTAATAATCTCGCTAAAATCATCAAAATACCGAATATCGGGAAGTACCGTTATATGGGGGCCATATGAAAACGTGACCTACATGGCCCATTTACGAACTGCCTACTGGAAAAATAAACATGTGTGCAAAACTGTAGCCTTCGAAAGATTGAAAGTGATTGCAACAGACAGACGGACAGAATTACTAGAATTCTACGCTTATTAAGAATATATACACTTTGTGGGGTCTGGCATGATTATTTCAAGGAGTTACAAACTGAATGACAAAGTTAATATACCCTCCATAGTATGGTGGAGGGTATAAAAACAAAATTATAAATTAACCCCGCGATGGTTGGTTCTATACACCGGATTGACTCGGAGGAACAAATTCTCGACCAGTGGTCGTCAACCATACAAATACATGTTCGTATTGCTGTTCGTTAATGTTTTATTTTTTTTCGATTCGGGAGTAACATTAGCCTGAATGTTTGCTCAGTATTCTTTTGGTCCGGGCAGGGATCGAGACCAACCCCACGGATTTGCTCTGCATGTCATGTCACATCTGCCACAGATCGGTCTCGGTTAGATGCAATCGCCAATGTAGAGGTGCTTAATGTGTACATCCTGGCATTAAAAAGCTGTGTCCCGCGTTATATACCCAACATCAGTTCACTACTGGTAGGCAATAATCTGGTGCTACGGGATGTTAATGTCCATGATGAATGGGACAGCGAATTGGCAATAATTCAGAGAGTATACCAATCGAAGCTTCAGAAAACTGTCCAATCCATCTGATGTACAAGTAGCAAGTAGGTGTTTCTGGGACATCATCAATGCTGCGATTGTTCGCTTTAATCGTCAGTGCCTATGTCTGAATAAACACCAAATTTCCTAGCAGAGGAAGGAGGATTCGCAAATGAAAGAGTTTCGCTTTACTAACCCTAATATTCCCACAATCAGGGAACTAACTCTAGAAATAAACAGGTTCGTTGGCGAGCAGGAACGGAAAAAGTGTCTAGAACATTTGAAGGAGTGTAACATCGGTACCAGACCGAGTAAATTGTTGGCAACGGTTAAATCGCTCTGGAACACAGAAAAAATTATGATCAGAAATCTGTATTATTTAACGGCTTAGAATTTACAGACCGAAGTGGTCTCTCCCAGCAGAGGAAAACCATTTACGATGGAAGATGTTGCGCATGTCATTAGAAGCGCAAAGTCATGCAAAGCGCTTGGTCCTAACGGAATCTCTCTGATGATGTTGAAGTATGTGGTCAATCACGCCACACTGTTCGATACAATTGAAATTGAAACTTCATGTCCCTCCGGCTAAGTGTGAAACGTTTGATCGTCAACTACGTATGTAGACCACAGTCTTAAGTGAAATTCAGTAACAAGATGTCGAATATTCGTAGAGTGAAACAGGCAGGTCCCCAATTTAGGACGATAACGTACCCGATCGATTGTACAAATCGTTGATGACATCTGAGATCGGCTAAACAAAAATAGCTGATCTAAACGCCCTCTTCACTGCGAGAAATATAAAAAATAACCGCCACAAATTCGATGATCATACGTTTCAACACATGGACAGCGGAGATGAGGCTATCACTGAATGTGCAGATCGATGATATCTTAATTCCGGCCATCAAGATTAGAAGTAGGAACAAAGTACTCAAGTCCCTTGCCGGCAGCACTTGGAGAGCTTATAAAGAAATCTTTTTAATCTCTTACAAGGCATAGGTCGGACTGTGGTAAACCATGTGGCTCCAGCATGGAGGCGACGATCTTAGAGAGAGAGAGAGCCTCTAAATTAATAGGTCTATCAAGCAGGACTGAATGGTATTCATTCCGGTCACAGAAGTCATGGAGGAATATAGAGAAAATAGTGTATTCTGAGACCACCCCCTCCCATCGCAGCTGAAGACCGAGAGCTACCCCGACAAACCCGAGTAGTTAAGGCAATATTGAGATTCGAATGATACAACCGCCTCAATTTGTATTGTGTCTGGATTGACAGCAGTGTGCAGAACACTGGCCCAGCATGTTGCACAGGCCCTAACCAAAATTACTCATTTATGGGCATCGTTAGCGATCCTACTTATACACTTTGAGTCTTTCTCAAATTTGAATTTAGAAGCAGAGCCAGGTTGAGAAGAATTAGGACAAACGAAGCAGTAGGAGCTACAACAACAAAAAAATAGAAGCAATGTTATCAAGACAAAACTGGCAGCCATACAATATTTGCTACCAATATCATGATTTCATCCTGGCGAAAGGAATTGTCACTTGGCTTTTTTAGCCTTTTGATATGACTACTTTTGTGAAAAGCAAACTCTATAAGAGTCAAACATTTTAGAAATATATACTAAGATTAGGCTCTAAAAAAGTTACTTCGTCGTAGTAATCTACTGCATCAAAAATACAATTTTAATTGAACAGTTCTTAAAAAAATATATATCCAATAATTTTTTGTTCCTAATGCTAAACTTAAAACTTCCTAAAAAGGATAGAAAAATTGAAAGGACTTAATATAAATAAATAAATTCATTTAAAAAATACGATATTTAACATCTGCTCTAACCGGAAAAAACTATAGAATTCATCTCCCCATCCCTAAATAAACTTTTTATACCCTCCACCATGGGTAGGAGGGTATATTAACTTTGTCATTCCGTTTGTAACACCTCTAAATATTCGTCGTAGACCCCATAAAGTATATATATTCATAATCAGCATAAAATTCTAAGACGATTTAGCGATGTCCGTCTGTCTGTCTGTCTGTCCGTCTGTCTGTCTGTCCGTCTGTCTGTCTGTCTGTTGAAATCACGATAGAGCCCACATTATTTGACGTAGACCTTTGAAATTTGGCACAAGTATGTGTATTGTCCCTAGGATGGTTGGTATTGAAAATGAGATATATCGGTCCACGTTCTGGTATAGTCCCCATATAACGGTACCTCCCGATATTCGGTATTTTGATGATTTATGCCACATTTTTTCACGGATTTATCTGAAAATTGGTATTTGTAGGTCATGACGGGTCCCTGAGCGTGTGGCGAAACATTGCATGTATAGGTCCACGTTTTGGTATAGCCCCCATATAACGGTACCTACCGATATTCGGTATTTTGATGATTTATGCCACATTTTTTCACGGATTTGTCTGAAAATTGGTATTTGTAGGTCATGACGGGTCCCTGAGCGTGTGGCAAAACATTGCATGTATAGGTCCACGTTTTGGTATAGCCCCCATATAACGGTACCTACCGATATTCGGTATTTTGATAATTTATGCTACATTTTTTCACGGATTTGTCTGAAAATTGGTATTTGTAGGTCACAACGGGTCCCTGAGCGTGTAGCAAAACATTGCATGTATAGGTCCACGTTCTGGTATAGTCCCCATATAACGGTACCTCCCGATATTCGGTATTTTGATGATTTATGCCACATTTTTTTCACTGATTTGTGTAAAAGTTGGTATTTGTGGGTCATAATGGGTCCTAGCTCGTGTGGCGAAACATTGTAATTATAGGTGCACGTGTTGGTGTAGCCCCTATATAACGGTACCTCCCGATATTCGCATTTTAATGTTTTTTGCCACATTTTTTCTAATGTTCTTTTACCCTAGGGTGGAGGGTATTAAAAGTTTGGCCCGGCCGAACTTAATGTTTTTTACTTGTTTAATATTAAAAAAAATAATTATAATTTATTATTTTTTCGTATTTTTCACAGATCAAATGTAAATTCCACCTTTGTTATAGTTTAACTTAAAATCTCGTACGTAATTGTAAACTTGCTACCTGAAATGTCCAAATGCCATAATTAACCTTCCCCTCCCTCTTCATCAACTGAGTTTCCCTATTTCACCATTCATGGTCGAATATGGTGCCCCAACACTCACACACAATGAGGTAACCTGATTACCTTCTTCTGTTTGAATAAAAACGGAAGTTTCCTTTTGACAAACACAAAATCAACAGGAAGGTTGAATGGTGTTGGAGACTGTCATAAATTAGAGTTTCCTGTGTTCGCACTCGTCCACACACACACACTTTTACTCTCTCACATACACACGCCGAATCCCAGCAATGGGGAAACGAGGTCAAATGGAGCATTACGAAAAATGTCTTTCGAAAGCGAACAAAAAGGTGGTTCTAGTGAAATGTCAGCTCTATTGTTATGTATAAACGATGGAAGGGCGTTTTAAAGATAGTTGGAATTGCGGAATTTAAGTTAGAAGTTTTAAGTGTAATACAAAGAAAATA